CAACGCTGCCAGTTCTGTTAGCTCTACGCCTGCTGAAGACACAGACGTCCATCCCCGTGAACACTGGGACGCAACTCAATGGGAAAGGAAAGGATTCTGATTTCAACCGTTGCATTTATTAGCTGCGACATATGAATCAAGATGCTATGACTGGAAAAATTTGATTGACAGATGACCGGTGATATATGATTGGCCAAATTTAGGTGTTCAAGCTGATGTATAACTAGCTGGCCGGCATAAAATGATAAAATAAAAAAAATAAAAAAATAATGATTTTAAGACAGGATTTTTTCTTTAAATAGAAATTTTCTAACTTTTGGGACAATATAGTCTGATAAAGAGCACATTTATATACATGTTTGAGCCAGAATTATTTGACATTTAAATATGATTTCTCTGACTTTAATAAAAAAAAAAATCATGGGCAGGGAGGCGTACTGAGGCATTAAATCAGGGGTCTTCAATGTTTTCCAGGCCAAGGACCCCCAAACTGATGGAGTGATGGAGCGGGGACCCCATAATTATAAACATATATTGTATGAAATAGTTTTCTGTCAAACTGGTCCTATAGTCACTCTATTACAGATGGAGTCATGTAACTAAAGTTATTTCTCCCTGGGATTATTAAAGTATTTCTGATTCTGATTCCTGGTTGATGGGACAGGTGTTGTGAATGAAACGGTGCCCAGCTTAAAAGAGCTCCTGTGTGTCGCTGAATGTGTGCACTGATGACTGAAAGACATCTTCCGCCTCCATTTATCTGTTTACTACAGTGTGATGAATTCATGTTAATGTGGATTTAAAGACATTTCATTTAGTGGAAAAAATTGCAGGTGGGACTATAAAAAAAAAAGTCTATATATAAAAAAAAGTCTAATTAACCAAAACCTATGCAGTACCCCCGTGGACCCCCTAGGGGTCGCGGACCCCCTATTGAAGACCTCTGCATTACGGAATATATCTGAATTCATTCATTTTTTGTTTTTTATTGATTGAGCGGATCTTAGAGGTGAAGGTTTGGTTAAAATCTTACTGGTGTTGTCAACCTTCGCTGCGGCCAGGTTAAAAAAAAAAAATGGCTGGGATCGGCTTTTTTTTAACTAAAGATGAGAAGTGCAAAATAAAGGAGGCTTTAATAACAAAATAACAACCCTATATTGTAAAGACTACAGCGGCAATAATAGAAACTTAATTATAAAGCACTTCCTACAGTCTTACTAAGGGTTTAAGAGTTATGTGAATACATCGTGACTTCTGTCTTTATTTTCAGATCTGTGAGTTATTTTGGTAACCTATCATGGGATTTGTGAACACAGTCTTTCAGGCTAAGGTGCGTTTGTCTTCTTGAATAAATAAAGTAAATCAGGAAAAGAAGAAAGAGCAGAATGACAAACAGAGATGAGAAGCCATGGCCTGAATACAAGCAGGGAGAGATATTCACCTGGTTTAATTTAATATACTTTTTATCTGTTGAGTTTGTAGCTTCTAAAAATATCTAGATTTTTTTTTTATACAAACAAATTTAACAAATTTTATGGACTAGTAATGTTCAGTAGATTGGACAATATTCTGTTCTGGGTTTCCTAAATTTATACTGTTTATATCTATATCAGATTTATATAACTAAAAACCCAAATTAAGAAATGTATCGTGATGCCGTCACCCAGGAGCATTTTTCACCCGCTCCTTTTTATTCCACCTGGTGTTACTGAGGATGAGATTAAGTTGGAGATTTGACGACCGCGTCATCATCCCCTCGCTTCAATCCAGACACATGAAAACACAATTCACCTCTTCCCTCCATCTCTAGCAGATGGCTGTTCAGGCAAAGGGAGGATGAGAGCTGGAGCACAAAAACAGAACCCGAGCGGCCATTTTTATCCTACTGTTCTATTTCTAGATGTATCAAATGGTTCGATTCTATACTTTAAATAAAGACGACACAATGTCAGAAAATCATTAAAAGAAAATTATAAAAATTTACAAAATTTCTAACTTGATTCAATGGTTACATTTTTGGGGAAACTTTGTTTCACAGTTTTTTTTTTATAT